AATCAATTAATAAAACATCGCCTGTATGCAATTGCAATAAAACAGCTAACTGAAATACCTCATAACATAGATAATAAAAGTGTGGCTCTAGTCACGGAACTACAACAATGTAGACCGGACCATCTAACAGTTTATACAACTCCAATCTAAAGCATTAACATAAAGTGTCATGGACAATCCCCACGCTCATTCAAATAAGGCAACACGCCCAACATCAAGCTCAACAACAACAAAAGCATAAATAGCGGAAAACATAAACAACATCCATATCCAGTCATGGCAGCAATACAGCATAATATCATCAACTAAGCTCTGGCCTCCTGCCGCCAGAGGCATCAGTCACCAAACTACCGGAACCTGAAATAAGCATTCCCCAAACGTGGGGTGAGATCTCTAAACAAGAAATCTCAGTAAGACAAGGGGTCTTCAAGGATCTTCCACCCCAAGCTCACTTACATGTGCAATATAAGTTTAAAAGCAGATATCATCATCAGTTCTAAAATAGTGCAATGCAGCAGATAATCATGTCATGTGTGTCAATTCTATTATACTGGCCAGAGAAATGCAGGATTTACATATGCCAAATACCCACATTAGTGCAAGACGCTACTTGCATCCACCCCGGATCACCGTCTTGTATGACGCTATATACTCAGGTTTACTGTCAAGATGGAACAACACATGCATATTAAAAGCCATTACACAGAAAGCTCAACAACATTTCAAATATTCAAAGCATGTAACACGGCATGCATACAACCACACCCCCATGGGACATGGTGGAACCACAACATGGCTAAACCGAGGACACGAAAGCTTACCTTGCAAGCTAACACCCAAAGCCAAGAGTCCACATCTTAAATTCCAAACACAGCAGATTCATAATCTGTTATGGACCAATACTATATCAATATTAAATCAACACAAGCATATTACTTAAAGACAATGCCTTTCCTTACGTTTTACATCTTAAAGATCCATACCAAGCCATAAGCCCTTAATCACAACGATTCTGACTTAGTTCATTAATTACAGAAGTTCAACTTCATCAATCTAGGGTGCACAAACCCCCAATAGCCTACTGTACACACAGCACAGCTACTGTTCTACGAAATCCCAGAATATCTGGATATTTCTCGGGACCATATCCGGATATGCAATATCCGGATATCTCACTAGACATATCCGGATAAGCAATATCCGGATATCCAGAATCCCATATCCGAATATCTCATATCCGGATGTCCAAATCCCGTATCCGGATATCACATATCCGGATATTTCTCGGGCAGATATCCGGATATTTCACGACAGAATGCAGAAATTGCATTTCGTGAAGATATCCTTCCAAGGTTGGGTTTTTACTGATTTTAAACACCTAAACATGCATTTCTAGGTGTGTTTGATCAACCCCAACATTAAGTTATCATCTTTTAACCTTTACATGTATCAAGGTTCCATTTTTAAGCTCAAAGACTCAAAGATCAAAGGTGATGAGGCTTACCAAAATTTATTTTCAGTTATCCCAAAATTATTTTGATTCTTGTAAATAACTTATTTTCAGTTATCCCAAAATTACGTCGTTTTTAATTAATAAAAAGTATTTATGTAATTTTATTTATTTTTTATCAAATAAATATTACTGAAACACCTTTCATTAATTTTCCTAACTTACGGAAACACTCTTCATTAATTCAAAACGACGTAATTTTGGAATTACTTATATCCGGTGATTGAAGAAATACTTTATCCTTACTTTAATTGTTTAATTGCGGTAGTTGGAATCAATTTACCCTAAAAAAAATTAGAAATGATATTGTAACAACCAATTAAGGTTACTATCAATGTTACTACCAATCAATTTCACCATTAGATCGATTATATTGATCCAACAGTTATATTTATTTCCATCTTTGTATGATTATGATTTATCACATTTAATGATAACCGTTGAATCAATGTAATCGATTTAATGATAAAATTAATTAGTAATAACATTGATAATAATCCTAATTGATTGTTATAATATCTTACCTAGTGAATGGCGATCACAACTACAATGGTCCTGAGCTACAAAATATGTTGTCAAATAAGTTTCAGCCCGCCTGTTTAGAATCAATTGACCCTCTAACAAATATGTTTGACTTGTTTTAATTATTGGTGATTGGGCTTTGTGAATGATGACAGCAGCTATTAAAGTCCTACCTTGGTAAACGAAGACCCTACCTTTATCTTAGGGTTGCAAACTTCTATGTCAAGTAAGTTTGACCCACATATTTTAGAATCTATTCACACCATAACAAATATGTTTGGCTTTTGCTCTAACATTAATTAAATTTATGATTCAGTGAATGACAGTAACTATAACGATTCTAAGATAAGAAAACTCCTTATTAGGTAAATTTCGACCTACACGAAGATGTAACGATTAGACTTTGTCTTGAACTGGGATTCATTCAAATAGATATGTTTGTGAATTTGATTTTAGGTTTTTGCAGAGCGAAGGTCTCTTTGCATGGGATTTTTCTATAAATTTGAGCATACAATTAATTAATTTACTTTTTAACCCTTAAAAGAAGTAGTATAGTATATTTGATGGGAGTGAATCATTAATGGTGATAAGGGAAGAGAGAGAAAAAAGTATTGAAATAGTTAGTTATAAAATTATAACTGTTGATTCACCTCTATATGATTAGGATTATTCCATATGATGTGATCATGTTAAATAAAACATATGAGAGAATTCGTTTTCATATTTGATACCTTTTGTAGTAGTCATATGATCGGAATCAAGGAGATTTTTATATCTCGATGGATGAGAAATTCAAATATATTATCAAATCATTTATTAAGCTCTTTTAGAGGTTTTCTCAACTAATACGTGTGTGTTATTTTTTATTTTAATTTTATACAACTAATCTGTTTTTTAGTTTGTAATGTTAAATAATCGTCACGTACACTACTAGGGCAAAATTCGGAAAACAGATTATGCATACGTATCTTGATCTATCGTATTATTATTGTTTTGATTTTGTTAATTGATCGTTGTGCTTTGTTTAAAGTACAATGCAACCTTTTTATCTATTCAAATCGAATCGGATTAGTTGCGAAGTAATGAACCGAATAGAATATTTCCAAAAAAAGTACAGTGCCACCTTTTTATCTATTCAAATCGAATTTGGGACACTAAATTAAGTTTTATAAATTTTATATGAATAATTGACAGGTTTTATTATATTTATTTTTATGCCTTTCTCTTGTAACATCAAAAAAGAAACACGTGAAAAAAGTAAGACTATTCAAATCATGACATTTTAAAAAGGATATGTTTTTCGGCTTTTTGACTCTTTTACCCTTCATTAATTAATTAATAATCATTTTGTCTCTCATTCAAAACTATCTATCAATATGTCCCTCTTTAATCGATTAAGTTGAAGATTTAATCGATTAAAAGGTCAAAACTGACAAAAATGGTTGACTTGAAGATTTAATCGATTAAATCTTCAACTTAATCGATTAAATCTCCAAAAAGTTAGCAAGTGTTGTCTTGTCACTTGAGATAGGAACGAAAGATTTTTTTTTCTCCCCTCCAATTTTTATCATGCTTTCAGACAGGAGTTTATGGATGAGCTTTAATTTTATAATTCCATTTAATGTTGTCTTGTCATTGCATTTAACATTAGCAAGTGTGTTGACTTTGCAAGCTTGCCTCTAATCAATTGGCAATTGCAGCATCCAAGAGTTAATAGTTAAAAAGGGTTAAAAAAAGAAAAGAAAAGAAAAGGCGTGTGCTGCGTATTTTCCTTCACAAATTTGCCTTCACCAAGTAATAAAAGCAAGTGGGGCCTTTGTTTTCAGACTATATCTATATTGACAATCCAACATAATCAAATGATTGAAACCATAAAGCAAAGCTTATTTATCTACTTTTCGTTTCTTTTTGGAGATTTAATCGATTAAGTTGAAGATTTAATCGATTAAATCTTCAAGTCAACCATTTTTGTCAGTTTTGACCATTTAATCGATTAACTCTTCAACTTAATCGATTAAAGAGGGACAGATTAATAGATAGTTTTGAATGAGGGGCAAAATGGTTATTAATTAATTAATTAAGGGTAAAAGGGTCAAAAAGCCTAATTTTTCTCATAGGGTACACAGTTTTAATATGTATATATAATCTTTTAAATTTTTTAAATATTTTATGCAAACAGGACTGCAGTGATATCACGAGTTAAACGAAGTAATATTTTTTATAATGCTTATTATGTCTGAATATATATATATATATATATATATATATATATAATTTTTTTTTATAACAGAAACATATTTTTTTAAGTTTTAAGAAGGATCTCTAAGGATTTAGGGAAAAGATTACGTATCATTCATCAACATATAGGGTTTTCACAAGCTTGCGCTGATAAACCACACAAGGAAAATATATATTATAAAAGAGCAAGTTGGTCTTAAATAACCAAACTTACCAAATGTTCAACCAAAGATAAATCAACAGCAATATACCCCACAGTAATTGGAGTAAATAGAGAACCACAAACTTAAACTTACGAAACAGTACCAACTATAACATATTAAGAGACCATCACCAAGACTACACTCCATATACTGGAGTGAACAACAACAAGAAGAAGATAACAATGTCTATGAAAGAAAAGTTGAAAATTGCAGCAGTTTAGAACATCCACTTTTCTTCACAGCAACAAGGCTTCACATATACCGAGCATGAACTCGAACCCTGTTGCGTAGCTACCAATCCTTGGCTGCATCTGCATCAAAAATTTCCCGGCTGCAGACAGAGTTAACAAAGACTCAAATCAAAACCCACTAATCTTCTAAATAAATTTTTAAATGAAATTTGGCAACATGTTACATGAAATCTAGGATTTTACCATTTCCTAATTTCACCAAAGAACATGCTCCTACAACCATCTAATTGTGAAGGAAAAAACAATAAGGAACATGTTTTTGATATGCATTTTATATTACTTGAATTTGATACGGCGAATTTGCCTGGTCCCATTAGCTGACCTCTTCACAGTGATTGACACTCCAGGATCATCCTGCTCAACCCATTCAGCATCCATGTCATTGTCAGTAGGGTTGTTAGCCCTTGATATCCCACCATGGAAATACCCCATATTCCCAGCGGGTGCATGGAAATTCCCCGGAGTCGAATCCGTGTTCAGCATTGAAGCCATTGGGATATCTTGTTCAGATTCCCCCGAGTTCTGTTCAAAGGCAATAGTAATGTACATGAATGAATCTCGAGAATCCAATAGAGAGCTCTTATTTATGTCAACCTCTTCTCACGATATAGTTATAAACATGAATTGAAGTATCATGAAAAATACCAAGGTCGATGAAATAGAGTCTTAACTCTTAACAACATCATATGTGTGTAAAAGTTGTAGATTACCTCATTATCATCAGACCTTGCAGGAGTGATGAAAACACGTTGATTTAAAGTCTGTATATTAAGAAGCTCCCTGATCATGTCGCAATTCTCAGCCCACCACCTCTGGGCTCACGACTTATCAAACATGTCTCATATATATATATATATATATATATATATATATATATATAAAGGTCTCTAAGGTACTACATATATTTTCAAAACTTGGGACATGTTATACATACCAGAAGCGAATCCTTTTGAGATCATTGCCCCCAGTAGGAAGTGTAACAGCCCGTTGTACACCAGTATTGTTAACATTAATTATGATATTAAGCGCAGTTACAATCACAACAATTCATTTATAAAAATGCGAATAAACTTTTTCTGATTATTACGCGAGCATTTAAAACAATAAAAAGCGTAATAATTAAAAGCTGTGATCGTAACTGTAAACTCTTGCGGAATACTTATTTAAACTACTTCTATGTCTTATTTTACTTATAATAAGTTACTAAGGGGTTCCCATAAACCCACTTAGCCAATTTCACAAATTTACGTTTTTACCTTTCCGAACATGGTTCACTAATTAATTTTCTACGAACTCACCGCTCACAATCAGACCATCCTTTAATGTTATATTTATTTCTTACTTAATTCCCTTTCTAAGAAGCTATCACACGCTTTAATCGGAGCTCGTTTGCTATGGCTATCGCCGTTTGAAGTTGGATAAGCAAAACAGCCAACCAACCCCAAAACAGCTCAAAACCTCTCTCACTCCACGAATTACTGCAGAAAATGCACTCATTAAATTGCTCTAAAATATTTATTATACAAACTAGACACGTCGACCTTTAATTTGATATATCATACGCTTAATTTTACTGAGAAATGAAGCAGGAATTAATTTTTCAAAACAGGTCCAGAACTGCCACATGTGCAGTAAGCACATGAGCAGTCTGCGTTCCTACATTTTTTTAATGCCGAATATCAACCCAAATTTTGACACAAGGTAGAGGACATCTCAACCTTCAAAATGGCGTATGGCACGTCCCTATCGGACCTATGTGGAGGGAGATATGCTCTCCCGAATTTAGCATAAATTCTTCTAATTCTACCGAAAATTCGCCAGAGTTTCCTTTGTTTTTCCAATAATCCCCAAATTGCACTAGTGATTCTATGACCTCAAATGTACCTAATAAGCATTATAAATCATTGGGTGGCACAGACAAGGACCAACAATGCCTTGGGGAACTTACAACCTAACTCAGTTTATAGTTATTACACAATTCATACTATATGGCTCACTTTATAATTCCTTAACTCATTTCAATCACCAAGTCCATTTACATGCAATTTCTCAACATAAGCATATAATCATAATTCTAACATAGGCCTAAAGCCCTTCCATCTTAGTACATCATGCATCTCTTTTTACATTTACAATATACACTTACATATTACAACTTGTAACTTCAACTTAAATTTACAATCTTCCCAAATATTACCACTTAATTACAAATCAAAACATAAGCTTAAATGACATACTACTAGACTTAGGCAAAATATCATGAACAAATATGCTAATGCAACTCATCCTACATACATATGAGATGTTCATGCCCTAAGTCTAGCCTAGGCCACATGGCCAACAAAATGCAAAATACGAAAGTGCTCCCCTAATCACTCTGCGGGCTTCTTGCCCGCTGCTCCAGCTCCAGCTCCGCTGCGAGCTTCTGGAGAAAACTCCGCCCAATGGTACACTTCGATGCATATAAATAATATAAAACAACCACTTTCAAAACGGGATATAGCAAGGGATTTAGATAAACTGGGGAATATCAGGATACAAAATACGACGAGCTGGAATTGTAGCTACCAATACCACGCAACGTCCTCGGCATATAATCCTACGGGTTTAATCCAAGGCGTGTTCCAAGAACCACAACCAAGGTACCTCTTCCATCCATATACACCCGAGACATTCCTAGTGTGCTCCTACCCGGATGACACACCACGACCCTAGGTCAACTGGAACTCCCTCTCGGAGACCTATCCAATGGAAGTCCGCACTGCCCGAAGGCTACACTGTCTACTGGCCAGAGACTCGGTACTTAAGTACCCTCATAAATGCTACATGCATGCTAATGCTGTTCTACACTACTCATATACACTTCGTACCATTACCCTCAACGGGTATGGTGGAACAGAAAAGGGGAACAAGCCCCAGTACCAAGAGGTTACCTTAATTCGTTCTTTAACTTAGCTCCACAACAGCTTATCTCACAACTGGGTACACAACAGAATGCCTACACAGAGGACATTCCCAATCACTCAAAATTCAAACAACACATGCTAATTCACAATTATACATGCATTGATCCAATCACTTACCTCAATCCACTTGGTCCAGGACCAAGGGCAATCCACCGATTCACTCAGAATTCAAGTCGACGTACGACAACCTATACAACCATGTACAACCATCAGTATACGTCAAATTCCATCAAAATGCGAAAATCACAAAATCCTCCCCTTCCTCTTTGAAGGTTAAACAAAATAGGTGTTATTTTGAGATTTATTTTTCTAAATTTGCTTTCTCATTTTATTACTCATCCTTAGGTTGCCAAGAGGCTAATTCAAGTGTCGTTTCACCGTTTTACGTCTTTTACGCATCGGTTTGCTTAATAATTCACTCTAGGTCAATTGAACACTTAACACTTCCAATTATTTTTCTATTGGTTTTCCAACCTTCCAATCACCACACAACCCATCTAATTACCATTTAATTACACAACACATCATCCCAATAATTTTTCCAACACAATTCCTCACTTTCTCTAATATGGCCGAGTTATGCCTTATGTAATACCCAAGGATTTCTTTCAATTTTTAACCATTCCACACCTCATACCATCTCATATTATTAACATACAATCATTCAACAACTCACCAATACATCCTAAAACATTTCCAAAAATCCAAGTCATAACCACCAAAATTTCTCTAAGTTAAAAATCCAATTTTTTCACCTAAATTTTTCATGGCATTTCTAGCTTTAATACATCATTCTAAGACATTATCATCTAATACACATTTTTCATTTGAGCTCTCTAGCATCACAAATCAAACAAGCCCTCTTTAGGGTTCATAAACAAATTCGAAAATCAAGCCATGGAATGATGAAGAAACTTACCCAAAAGCTAGGCATAAGGCTCCACCTAAACATACCCCACCATTGGAGCACCTAGAAGCTCCAAGAACACAAATTTTTCTCCACAATTCGGAACTGATTTTGGTCAAAATCTTCTCAAAGAGACGATTTCAAGGCTTGGGAGTACTACCAATAGCTCTAGAAGGTATTTTCCATCAAATTTCAAGACAAAAATTGATGGATTTGGTGGAGGATTGATGAAGTTATGGTGAAATGGAGATTTTGGTTGAAAATGGTGGTGGGGGGCTGGTTTCACGCGGGGAAGAAGAGAAATAGGAGAGAGAGTGTGAGGAAAAGTGACATATAAGTCACTTAAGTCATAGGTGGGTCCCACACACGTTTTAACTTTAATCAATCACCTAATTTCGACCACAAATTCATGACCTACGTATTTTTCTCGGTCATGTCATATTTTTGTTTCCTAAAAATACTGATAAAATTTTCACGCTTATCGGTACACTTATACCGCAGTATTTCTACACCGGGAAAATCACTATTCTTGGTAGAGAATCACCGCAGTATTTCTTAATCACGTACCATACAATTAATACATACCATGGAGTCTTAAGGTTTCAGGCTTAGGTCATTTTCAAAGCATCATACAATACCTTTACAGCTGGGCTAGTGGAGAATGTACTTGGTAGAGAATACATGCAAGTGGATGACAACAACATCCTTGAACGTGAAAGTCTATATATGTATATATCCTACTATCAACTATGTACCCCCAATGGAAAGCATTTTCTATTTGTAGAAATCTCCTGTAATTTCTATCCAAATATTACTTGTCCAATTTTTCACACAATTTAGAAACATTTGGTTCGAAATAGTTAGGAGAGGCATCATAAGGAAGAAGGAAGAGCATGAAGAAGAAGGTAAACTAATAAGCAAATATAAAGGAAGCAAAATAAAGAAGAAGGTAAACATTTGGTTTGATTTTGTTTGTTTTAACCAAGATGGAAAAAGAAGATGAAAAAATAATGTTTGTTGAGAGAGGGAGAGAGTATTAAGGACCTGCGACGCCAGACCCTTGACGGCTTCTTTTGTGTTCGGCGTGCCGTTCCCACGGTCATCTTCATCCCCATCAACGGGGGTTGGCTTGGCACACAGATTCATGAACAAAAACATCTTCTCTAAAAAGCTAATCTTATCTTGAACAACAACAAAACAAGCAAACATTTATGGTTAGATTCCAGAGAATGAAAGAGTGTCTGTCAACAGTTGAGAATGGGAATGACATATAGAGAAGAAATGAACCATGTATATGTCATTGGTTCTGAATGGATAATAGAACAAAATAAAAATAATAATAAAAGTCATTTAAGGATGAAGTTAAGGTTATCACTTTCATTGAATGAAACAGTGATAGAAAATGGCCATTTACGGTAAACAAAAGCAATGATTAGGTTACACGGAAAGCGCTGAAATAAAGACCACACAGATGCAGCAATTGAGTTACAATGCAACTAATGAATAACAATGCTCCAAAAAACAACATCTTTCACGTGAAACAAAATGGTCCTAAGATAACTGTAACACCCCAAATTTCTAACAATTTATAAAACAATCTTATAATAAATAAATTGTCAAAATTCTTTTTTTTTTTACAATTATAATAATAGAAATATTGCGAAAGCTAATCTATAAGCCCCAATTTTTAATAAAAAAATAACATGGCATCGAAATTTTGAATTTACTTTTTATGGTAAGCTAGCATTATATATATATATATATATATTTAAATTTTAGATACTTTAAAAATTTGATTGCAGTCATTAGAATCAATTTATACCATAATAAAAATATTTGGGTTATTTATCTGATTAACAAATGTTGGATTCGTTAATTGACATCCATAATTATAACGATCTTAGGGTAGAGAAATTTTTGTCCTATAATTTCCGATACGTTTATTTTAAATTTTTGGATACTTCAAATATTAAACTGCCATCGTGAAAATCAATTTATTCCATAATAAAAACATTTGACTTATTTATCCGATTAATAAATGTTAAGACATATTTAATGACAATTGTACCTATAACATTTCAAGGGGTAGAGAAATTTTTATGTATACTTGTTTTTTTATTTTTGACATCTCAAGATTTTGATTACGATAGTTAAAATCAATTTACACCATATGACTATCGATGGTTAGGATTGGTGAATGCACTTTTGACAGAATTGAATTTGGAAATAGAAACTTCTCATTCAGCTTGTGTTTTGCTGCTTGTTATGATGTCATCCTTGGAAGTTAATTCTGATACAGATCAGAAATTCTTGCAATCACATGATAGTCTTCCTGATTCTTCTCCCTGATTCCATGCATGGATGGACAGATAAGAATTTTCCTGAGTATCTAATATAATTTTAATGAAAGAAATTGCCAATATTATGAACCGTTTCTCTTAACACTTGATTTAAGTTATTTAACTTTTTTTTATTAAAAAAAATTATTTAACTTTTGGCTTTAGTTATAAACTTTTAAGGGGTTTATAAATTTTATGTTAATGCTCCAAAAATTATTTTGCAGCTGAGACAATAAAATATGAAGACCACAATTTTTTTTCCCTTTTTTATTATCTCGGGCGTTGTGCGTATCGACCCGATTCTACAAATTTTGTGTTGATGCAACAACAAAAAATTTATAAACCCCAATTTTTAATTAAAAAATACCATGTCATCAAAATTTTGAATTTACTTTTTATGTTAAGCTAGCATTAAGTATATATATATATATATATATATATACATATATATATATATATATTTTAGATACTTTAAAAATTTGATCAATTTATACCATAATAAAAATATTTGGGTTATTTATCTGATTAACAAATGTTGGATTCGTTAAATGACATCCATAATTATAACGATCTTAGGGTAGAGAAATTTTTGTCCTATAATTTTCGGTACATTTATTTTAAATTTTGGATACTTGAAAAATTAAACTGCCATCGTGAAAATCGATTTATACCATAATAAAAACATTTGACTTATTTATCCGATTAATAAATGTTAAGACATATTTAATGACAATTGTAACTATAACATTTCAAGGGGTAGAGAAATTTTTATGTATATTTATGTTTTTATTTTTGATATCTCAAGATTTGATTACGATAGTTAAAATCAATTTACACCATATGACTATCGATGGTTAGGAATGGTGAATTCACTTTTTGACATAATTGAATTTGGAAATAGAAACTTCTCATTCAGCTTGTGTTTTGCTGCTTGTTATGATGTCATCCTTGGATGTTAATTGTGATACAGATCAGAAATTCTTGCAATCACATGATATTCTTCCTGATTCTTCTCCCTGATTCCATGCATGGATGGACAGATAACAATTTTCCTGAGTATCAAATATAATTTTAATTAAAGAAATTGCCAATATTATCAACTGTTTCTCTTAACACTTGATTTAAGTTATTTAACTTTTTTTTATTAAATAAAATTATTTAACTTTTGGCTTTATTTATAAACTTTTAAGGGGTTTACAAATTTTATGTTAATGCTCCAAAAATTATTTTACAGCTGAGACAATAAAATATGAAGACCACAATTTTTTTCCCTTTTTTATTATCTCGGGCGCTGTGCATATCGACCCGATTCTACAAATTTTGTGTTGATGCAGCAACAAAAAATTTATAAATCCCAATTTCTAATTAAAAAATACCATGTCATCGAAATTTTGATTTTACTTTTTATGGTAAGCTAGCATTAAATGTATATATATATATATATATATATATATATATTTTAGATGCTTTAAAAATTTGATCAATTTATACCATAATAAAAATGATTGGGTTATTTATCTGATTAACAAATGTTGGATTCGTTAAATGACATCCATAATTATAACGATCTTAGGGTAGAGAAATTTTTGTCCTATAATTTTCGATTCGTTTATTTAAATTTTGGATACTTCAAAAATTAAACTGCCATCGTGAAAATCAATTTATACCATAATAAAAACATTTGACTTATTCATCCGATTAATAAATGTTAAGACATATTTAATGACAATTGTAACTATAACATTTCAAGGGGTAGAGAAATTTTTATATATATATATTTTTTTTATTTTTGATATCTCAAGATTTGATTACGATAGTTAAAATCAATTTACACCATATGACTATCGATGGTTAGTATTGGTGAATTCACTTTTTGACAGAATTGAATTTGGAAATAGAAACTTCTCATTCAGCTTGTGTTTTGCTGCTTGTTATGATGTCATCCTTGGATGTTAATTGTGATACAGATCAGAAATTCTTGCAATCACATTATATTCTTCCTGATTCTTCGCCCTGATTCCATGCATGGATGGACATATAAGAATTTTCCCGTGCTCCAAAAATTATTTTACAGCTGAGACAATAAAATATGAAGACCACAATTTTTTTTCCCTTTTTTATTATATCGGGCGCTGTGCGTATCGACCCGATTCTACAAATTTTGTGTTGATGCAGCAACAAAAAATTTATAAACCCGAATTTTTAATTAAAATATACCATGTCATCAAAATTTTGAATTTACTTTTTATGGTAAGCTAGCATTAAATTTATATATATATATATATATATATATATATATATATATATATATATATATATATATATTTTAGATGCTTTAAAAATTTGATCAATTTATACCATAATAAAAATATTTGGGTTATTTATCTGATTAACCAATGTTGGATTCGTTAGTTGAC